GAGAGAGAGAGAGAGACAGACCACACAGTGGTTGCTTTGAGGGCCACGGATCGACTCAAGCTTCTGTTGAACACGCCTCTTCAGTGTCACCTTGATGGGTCCCAATGGGCCCATAGCGTTGCTCCTCCAATAAGAAGGCTGGTTGATAACAGTCGCATTTTCCGTTCGATAATATCGAATAATTGAGGAAAAAATAATAGTGGAAATTAATTAGGACGTAATTAAAGATGATTGATTACCAAATCAAAATTGTAATTTCTTGTATCAGTATTATTAGATTGCTTCCAAGTCACAATTAAGGAATTAAAAGATGAATTATAGTCTTTCAACCGCGTGTCGACTTTTGGAGCAATGAAAGCGATACTAATGGATCGTCAAAGAGAGAAATCAAAGAACAACTCAAGAAGAATTGGGACATTTGGGGGCGATCGAATTGATTCGGAGCTGCCCGCCCTCAAATCGAGGCGAAATTTGAAATCCCCTCAATTATTTTTTGTTTGCCCCTCGTAAAGCGTGTCCAGATCCGACTCACCGTCGTGGTGGTCATCTTGCATCCGGCGATGGTCACGACGCAGGGTCCACCCTTCGTGTGGTTGATGAGCCACCGAAATGTACGGGTCCAGTAAAAAGATGAGTTGTTATTGGTTGGTTTCAGGATTCAGCAAAAATTCGTGCAATGCATCCGTGCATCTTTCCGCCCTCCATAAACCCTCGATTCTCCTCTGCCGCCAACCGTGAACTCTCTCCCTCTCCCTCTCTCGCCTAGGGTTTATTCGCCATGGACACTGAAGCAGGGGAGGATGCCAAGAACGCCGGCGACGGATCTCCCACAGCAGAGCAGGAGGACAAGGAACAGGGGGATGGCTCGTCCGCGGCGCCGCATGAGGCCGGAGGAGAGGAGAGCAAGGAGGAGGAGGGCGGTGATGTGGCGAAGGAGAAAGTAGAAGGTGAGAAGCGGAAGCGAGGGAGGAAGAGGAAAGCGGCGTTGGACAAGAGCGGAGAGGAGGGGGAGGGGATGCCGAAGGAGAGGAAGCGGCGGTCGGTGGTCGTGCGGGAAGGAGCCACCCCGGTGGAGAGGCCGTCCAGGGAGCGGAAGACCGTCGAGAGGTTCTCGGAGATGTCCCTTCCGAGGTCTCCCGTGCCGAAGACTTTGTCTTTCAAGCAGGTTAGGCGTTCATTAACTCAGGTTGGATGGATCTTGAAAGCTCTTTCTTTCTTCTCTAAAAGATTTGGGCTTTCTCTGTGGATTTCAGGGTTCCGGAGAGAAGCTGAAAGACATTCCAAATGGTATTGGCCGACCCCAGTCGAGCTTTATGCTGTTCCTGTTATCATTTCGTTTCTCGTAATTAATTGGATTCCATTACTTCCCATAGCAGCCAATGATTGACAATTTTCATGCTTCATCTAATCTTTGACTCAAGTCTCCATTGAAAATTGTAGTGAAAATTGGTTAGGACAAGTTGTGTGCAACTTTAACACTAAGCGACAAATTAAGGAGAGAGTGATGAAAAAGGTTTACGCTTTTGGATTAGATTCAAAATCTATTGTTCAATAAATGGAGCGACTAGGAAGGGTATAACTTATAGACTAAAGTAGGATGGTTAAATTGGAGAGATATATTTTCTGTGCTATGCAATTGTTTCTTACTCAATTGGTTAAATGGTATATTTTATATAAGAACTTTTAGATTTAACATTCTTTAAATGCCAGACTAGGTATCATGAAGTACCAAAATGTGTAAGCTTTGGATAATTCTCGATCGATTATGAACAAAAGGGTGAGTTCTCTTTATTGAAGTTGGTTTGCAGGTTCTGGCCCAACCAATCATATGCTATTGTTTGTACCTTGGGGGCTGAGATCTTCGGTTGCTGATTGTCTGTTCCATATCTCTAACCTTCAGCTATATTATTATCCTCACATTTTGGAGGAGTAAAAAAGGATTGCTGATTGGATGGCAAACTTTTGAACGAACAATTTTGTTTTCAGAAGGATGCTCCTAATTTTTATATTGTTTTTGAGTTGTGACAGCTTTCCCTCTTTCCATGAAAAATTAAGACAGTGAGAAAAAAGCAATCTTACTGGCTAAGAACAAGTTGGCTGGAACAAAAGAGACCCTAGGAGGTCAAGATCAGATTCTGGAAGACAACCAAGAAAGTAATGATGCTCCATAGTTATAGGCATAAACGTTTTGCGGTTAAGATGAGGTGTGACACAATGTAGTGGAAAAGCTATCCTTTTTGAGAAAACCTTATTAAAATCATTCAGTTGTGTTATTGTAATAATAATCATAGTTGTAATTGGGAGGTAGCACTAAGAAAATAAGGTGGTAGACAGTTATGTCATCCCTTGAGAAATTTATTATGTGTCTTTTAAACTAGAGGTGCAACAAAAATCTGAGAAAGAAGAAGGAATCATAGGTTTAATAAGACATGAAGTGTATGACTGTTACATGCTACTGGCGATGTAGCTCTTAATACAATTTGGTTGTTTTTGTTACTTTTAAGCATCAATTTTTTCTTAAAATTCTGCTGACTTTGCTAAATGCTGTAGTTTTTTTTAAGTTGTCAAAACGAAAAGCTGATGACAACCTTCAAGCGCTTCATGGCATTCTTTTTGGAAGGAAAGCAAATGTAAGGTTTTGTTATTATTGAAGTTCTTTTACATGTGCCATTCCTATTTTCTTTATAGTGATCTCTTTCTCATTCAGGTACATTATCTTAAGAGAAATATTCTCCAGTTCTCTGGATTTGTTTGGAGCGAGAATGAGGTACCATGTCGATATGTGTATAGATTCATGAGTTAAATTAATAATGTTTAGTTTATCTACATTGGATATTGTTTTGGGTTTCTGATGCGCCGAATTGAAAGTGAACCATTAACAAGGAATACCAAATCGTAATGCCCATAGCTGATGCCAGTCTTGAAATTGAGCTTGTAGATTGCACTGATTCCAACATAATTTCTGAGAGGATTTTGACAGGGTTTCTCACAAAACAAAGGATAGTTTTCTTGTTACTTTCTTTATGGTGAAGAAACTAAATGTGTAGACAAAGAAAGGTGTAGATTTATGGAACATGGAGTACATCACAAAAGTGATTCATTTCCATTGCTAATTTAGGCTTGGCTGACAGCTCTTTCTTTCATACTACTTGAAAAACGACTCCAGGATAACAAACCTGATAAACTTCTTTATGTTTTCAGTATCTAGATTCCTCACTTCTGTTAAGCAAGTAATTTTTGAAACATACTGGATATATTTGTCACCTCTGTAGGGGAATCTATTTTGGAAATCTCGAGATTTTGGACAACTGTTTTGTTACAACCTTTGCTACATGTTTGAAATTTATAGATGAACTGTGACCATATATCCATGATGTCATTGCTTTTTTAAGGGGAAAATCTATCTTTGATCAATTGCCTTTTAATTTGTTTTGAGTAACATTAAGAAGGCTGCCACTAATGAAACATTTTTTAGGAACATGTTAAAAGTTACTTTTTTGTTTTGTTTTTGGGTGGTGCTAAAGCATTTGTTTTGTTCAGGCAAAGCAGAGGGCAAGGTTTAAAGAAAAGCTTGATAAGTGTAAGAAGGAAAGGTTGCTTGATTTCTGTGACTTACTTGATATTCATGCTGTAAAAGCCTCTTCCAAAAAGGTAAATCAATTGAAAATTTCCCCTAAATTAATAGGTAGATATATTGTTCTTATCTAGAGAGTTTATCTTAAGTTGCTTATTTTCAGGAAGAAATTATAGCAAATTTGATGGAATTTTTGGAATCTCCTTGTGTAACTAGAGATGTAGTACTTGCTGAAAAGGTGGAATTTTTGTGCTTGTGCTGTTTCTGAATTGTTGTTATTCTTTGCATTTAGCTATTAGTATATGCAAAACTTAGTCTCACTTCATTTTTAGGAAGAAAAGAAACGAGGGAGGGCAAAGGGAAGAAGTCATTCAACACCTGGAGAAGCATCTTCAGATAGACGAATTAAGGTTTATTTATTTGTCTCATGAGTTTATTTTCTGTCCAAAAATTTGATCATGTTCTAGGGATAGTTCTTGAATGTGGTTTGCATAAGATTATTGTATATTTGACAGATGAAAGACTACTAGTATCCTCATTTTTTAAGAAAATAGAATAGTTGTGAAATGATGCCAAGTGGTATCCTTCAAATGCTTTGTAGCATTACTTTACTTTCTTTTATTTTTAATGTAAAGAAGTGGTCAGCATTTTCTAGTTGTTAGTTTGATAAATTATAAAGCTTGCTCATCATTGAGATGATATTTGCGACAAACAAGGAGCTCTTGTTTGGAGATATTGCAGTTCATTTTGCATCTTTGTCTGGTCTCTGATATTGTACAAGGTAGAGAAAAAAAATGATGAGCCATTGTTAACCTAGATGGTTAATGTAAAATGTTTTTGGTCAAATTTTTTTTAGACATTTTAAGTTTCAACTGTGAAGCATTGATTTTGGTAATGTTGGCTATGTACTTTTCTTGTACTTGACTCGTTCTTCTGGAAAACTATTACAATTAGCTCCATGTAGCACCTCTTAATGTGCAGAAACAAAGAAAGAGCCACAAGCAATCAGCTCAAGACGAGAACGAGGATAATGAAGAGGGTGCTTCAGTTGACACAAAGGAAGCATCTAGTGATGGCGAAGGTGATGGGCATGCACTGGAAGAGAGTGATCGTGATCTGGATCATGAAGAAAATGAGGAAGATGAGCAAGAGGAGCCTGAAGCCACTAATAAAAGGTGTGCTACTAAGCAAATAAAGAAGACTTCTAAGTCATCTAAGATGAAAAACAAAGTTTCTCCTGTTAAAAACATAACTTCCAATAACATTTATTCAAAAGCTGCTTTAAATGTCTCTAGCGAAGATGAACCAAATTCAACCCATGGAAACAAAAAGGGTTCTTCCAAGGAGATGAACAAGCAAGACTCAAGGGCCTCAACAGAAGAGAAATCTGCAATGAGAAAGAATTCTGCTAAGGTTACTAAAAGTGCCTTATCATCACCAAGAAAAAGTGATCCCGTGGATGATAGTGATTCCGAGCCACGTTCAACCACCAAAAGCAAACAGGAGCGTGGAAGGAAGGGACGGGCAATTGAGAAACCTCCAGCTACCAAGGAAAACACCAGGAAGAAAAGATCTGCTAAGTCAGAGTCAAAGGTTACGGAGAAAAAACGAGGTAGCTTCATGTTTTATTTGCATTTATGTTTTAAAATAATCTTTAATGCCTCCTGATCATGAAGGCCACTTCTATCATCAAAGCCTTTCTCTTGTGATGCATAGGAAAAGTCAAGACTAGTAAGGTCACCAACAGTGAACCTAGCACAGAGGAGTTGCATGCTGTTGTGAGTGATATACTGAAAGAAGTGGACTTCAATACTGTACGTAGCTTCAGACTCTATGCTCTACATTTACTTTCTTTGTCTCTTGATATCACCAAATTCTGTTCATGGCAGGCAACTTTGGCCGATATTCTGAGACAGTTAGGTATGATAAAATCAACTCATGAACACGTGTAGCTACTTTCTGCTGTTTGCTGCTTGTTATGTTAAATCTTTTAGATCGCACAAGCTAGAATGAAGTAGATGCTGTGTATGATCTTTGACACTTCAATTTAATCGCATACAGGGGCTCGCTTCAAGATGAATCTGATGGACAGAAAAGCGGAAGTGAAGCGCATAATTGAGGATGTCATAAACAGTATGTCTGACGATGAAGACGGTGAGGATGAAGATCGTGCCGAAGATGCCAAGGAGGACGACACAAAGGAAGGTTCTGATGATGGAGATGGTGATAAGTAGCTCGGTTGGATGGGTTGACAAATTAGCACCTTCCTCGTGTATGCGTGGCATACTAGCACCATGCTAAATCCTATTTTATCTTCGGAAAATGTGATACTGGTGGCTTGGGTAACCCTAACCATTTCATAGAAATGTGTATTCAACTGCTGCGGTAGCTAATTCGTGTTGTTCCATTAGCTCATTGTACAATAGCCTTAATTTTATGGAAGATTTTCCTTTAGCTTTACATAGTCCTGACTCCTGACTACAATGTTCTATTTGTGTTGTTTTCCCTTATCACCAATTGGTTCAACAACACGTTTCCTAGATTGTGTGTTGGTTCATTCTCGTACATGTCGAATGTCATGTTGGTGTTGCTTGTGTGTTGATTCCGACCTAGTGCTGTTCTAATGCTTTCTCCTACTTGAAGGGAAGGGAAGCATTTTGTCTTGACTGATGCAGAGGAATGCCTTTGACAAAAGCCTTCAATTATCACTGAGTGTAGAGAAATAATAGGGATTATGCTTTGAAAGCAACTCTCAGTTATATTGTGTAGCTGACAACCATTTGCCGTATCATTTACCTTTTATTTCCGTGGGATGCACAATGTGACTAGACATTCAATATGACTACAGCAATCAACAGTATCTCTACAAACTGGCGTCCTGCTTCAAGGAATTGATCACTAATCAGTTTCTTACATAAAAGTTTAGTAGAGCAAATCTTCAACCATTATGGTGCATGTAGTATATATATCATGAACAAATTATACAGCACCAAAGCATTCCAGGTTTGCATACAGTTCTTTGTAACCTGTCATTGCCGGGTCAATGGCGGTGGCGGTGCCGGTAATGGCGGTTGGCCAAAGGTATTGGGCCCCTCCGATGCTTGAACATTGTGGAATGGATTTGGAGCACTTGGACCGAGATGAATGCCAAACATTGGCGGATAATTTGGGAGAGGTGGCAGAGCTGAACCGTAGACATATGGGATGCCCGTCATAGGTCCAGCAGCTGACGGCATGAACTGAGTGGTGATAAGTGGGGGTGGTGGTGGCTGTGCTGATGGCAGTGAAGTTGATGTAGATGGCAGCGGCTCTACAATGGGGCTTGGATGAGTCCCTGGTGGTAGCAGCGGCAGCTGATGCTGTAATTGAGGATGTGGAAGAGATGGCAACGGTGGCTGAAGCGGAGGCTGCAGCAGCAGCACATGAGAAGGCACACTGTTTTCTGTTTTAAGCCTCTTATTGTCGGAAGAAAAATCTTCTTTGTTTGCCTGGCCAATGACACCCTCCGAGGCCAGAGAGGAGAGGACATGGCACAGCATTTGGGCAGAGGAGGCAGACGCGGTGAGTTTTGCTGCCACTTCAGCAGCTGCCGTTCTCCGGTGTTCACTCTCAGAATGAGAAGAATTATTTTCGGTGAGAGGTTCCTCCTGGGTGCATCTGGTGGAAGTTATTTGTGCTTCGTCCGAGGAGCCAGCAGTAGCTTCAGGGGCAAAACCAGGAGAGGTCTCAGAGAATGCCAATGATGATTCCTTGGTTCTCTGCTCGGCTGGGGGTTGTTCACCATTAAGCTGTGCGGAGGCAACCGTTGCTCTCTCATATTGTGATTCAGCCTCCTGGAAAATGATTGAACAACGGTGATCAGTTGGAACATCAAGAGTCTCATGTTCTTTGATAAATCAGCACAAATGAATATTTGATAAATCCACGCATTCTTTGTTATTTTTTATTATGCAAATCTACAAAACAACTACTCTCATATGATAATGCATTACTCAAAACCATAAATACATACAAAAGAGTGTGTTGAGCATCTGGAGCCTTGAATATTTTGGAGCAATTTAGACTCACCCATATATTCTTCAACCACAAAGTACAATAATCTTACAACAGATTCATACTGCCTCCATCTTGTGAGTGTCCCAAAAAGGCACCATGCGTGGTACAGAACCTGTGCAAAAATCTGCCTGTTGATAACTCCAGTGACATTTTAAATTCTTGACTTTTTAAATTCTTTATATAACTCCAGTGGCAGACCTTAAACGATGGTGACTCAGCTATAGAAGTCTGGACCCCCAGATATCTAGGAATTGACATTATAAACATCATCGTGTAAAACACCACAATCGTGGATAGTGTTTCCACTATATATAGTTCGACTTATCAAAACTTGAAGAACACTCAGATACAGCATCACATATGTATTAGTGGCCTTACTAACAAGAACAAGAAGCACTATTTTTTCACTTTTACATATATTTAGGTAAGGTTATCACTTAATTTATCTGTCACTGTGCTAGCCATCATGTGTTAAGAAGAAACTGATCCATTATCTGAATTAACTTGTGCTAAGCTTTATTTATTAAATGATGCTTTTGATAGATTTGGATAAACAATACACTAAAAGTGCATCATATATTACTTTTATGTAAACAGAACTAAGAAAGTCCAAAAAGAGTACCTGAAGTTGGTGACGAACTTGTTCGATCTTTATTTCCTGAAAAACCAATCCCAAACAGAAAATAAAAAGTGATTAGGAGTATACCTGTGACTAGAAAAAAAAATCAGTAAATTAAAAGCTAGCATAGGTCAAACATAATGACATCTGCCAGTGACTCACCTGCTCATGGAGGGCTTCTTTCAAATACGATATCAAAGTTGCTCTGGACAATTCAGCTGCCTTTAGTTGTTCTATGCACTCTAATAGCATGTGATGCTGCATCTGCAACTCTCCCATGACTTCAGATCCATTTATACTCCCTATTCATCAACCAGAGTCACAAAAACTCCATGTGGGAAACAAGAAATACAAATATGAATACAATCATATGTCTACACAACACATACCCTGAAACATAGCTTGACATTATTTAACAGCAGTAAAAATGGTACAATCACAACAAAACTAAATGTATCCAATGACTACACAATACTACTACCAATCTACAGATGAAGCATGAACATGAACACGATACAGACACAACATGATATGCTGATACGGCAAATCATAAAAAGGAACACAATAAGGTATGCAAAATACATATCAATATAAATGAGTATTTCTGTATGTCTATATGTAGATATAACATTGCCACTTTAGAAAATATATAATCACCAGGTATGTAACTTATGAGCTGTGTGATGCTTGTCATATAACTATTCACCCTAAAAGCACACGAAAGAAACATTAAGGAGCCTTCTCACGTTCATGTTCAGGGAAGAAGTCTAATACATATGTATGCCTAGTACATGACATGCCCAACAGCCTTACATAGATGATATGTATTTAACATACATATCATACATTCAGTATCCTGTATATGTTATGCTGTCCTGAAATATCTTAAAGTGTCCATGCTCCTCCGTGATGATCGCTCATTTTAAAGTGTCCATGCTCCTCCGTGATGATCGCTCATTTTTCTTGTAAAATGCAGAAAATGTGAAGCAAAGAATAACAACACTTGAAGGAAATTGATCTGTCATTGGTGAAAGAAAAAAGTTCAAATATAGTGAAGCAGACCTAATAGGAACTTAATATGTCAAATGACAGATGATTATTTGCAAAAGAATAAACCATCCTCGTAGTCTCTTCAGATTGACCAGACAAGCATTGCGGTTAAACACAGATAGGTAAGCAGCTTAAAATGTCCACGCATGTGTCCTCTTTTGTGAAGAAATATGTAGCAGAGGCAGAAAGAAATTGATCTGGCTTCGGTAAGGGAAACTAGAATTCTTGTTTTAGTGAACTGAACCAAATCAGCAACTCAATATGGTACAAGACAAATAATTAGCTAAGGAAAATCAATCTAAGCATAATTTTCCCGATTGACCATTGTCAACTTTGTTTCTCACAATTCCTTGACATCCCACAATATTACTGGTGAAACTGTCAAGATTTAACCAGAATCAAAGATTTTAGGCCAGTAATACAGGAAAAGAAATGCAATCCTTTGTTATGAAAAAATTTAATAAATGACAAAAAAGAGATGAGGAAGAGGAGAATATGGCAGGAGCGAAGAAGAAGAAAGAGGAATATAATGACGAGGAGGGGAACAAAAGAAACCAACATGTTCTTCACCCGACAGTCATCAACTGCTTGTCAGACACTGCTCATCTGACTGCCCATTCTCAATTGCCAGATCAAGTGCCACTACACACTGCATGCCCACTTGCTGGGCATTGGAAGGGAGAAATCAGACATAGAGACAAAGGGAAGCTCACTCAAAGAAAGGATATTTCGAATTTTAAAGTATAACAAAATTAGAACATTTGATGTCTTTCAATCCTGCTTTTTCTTTTATTCGTTTTAATATTTTTATATATTACATTTATAAGAATATTCAGGTTGATCTGAATTCACTAGTCTAACCTAGTCAATCTGGTCAATTCCAGTACCAGAACATAGGGCCAACCTTCTCGCTGATCTTGGCAGGTCTTGCATCTTAATGGAGAACATATAGATCCATTCAGATGTAAAATTACATAAATTGACCATTGCTAGCCTGAAGCATGTTCTCTAGAAGCTGGAAAAACCTGAACAAGCATCTAAAGAAAGAGATTGCACTTAATACCTTTGTTAAAAGCAATGACATTGATAAGATAGCCAGTCTAAAACAAAATTTGACTGTTCCACCCCAGAGCCATGAAGCAATCCTAGACATGACTCAACAATTGCATATTTTATATAATCAGGAATCTAGATAATCCTATTCCCTATTTCATTAATGTACTGTATTCCAGCCAAATATTGGCATGATTCAGGTGGATGCCAAGGTATTGGCATGCTACAGTAAAAAAATGTATATTGGCCTTTACCATGTCATATTTACCAAAGTTAGATTGCCTATTTGGGCATCGTTAGTCATACAGGCAGGCACAGTAGGAATGTGAAGTCAAAGCACAGGTCATCACAAATAAAAAAAATGATGTTTGAATAATACAGTAGTGATAAGAGTCTTCATATTTAAATTTAAAGCCTTTATTTTCTTTTTCATGCAGTAGTGAGGTTAAAAGAACAAAAGGAAATCAAAGGAAAGATCTCTCTCTCCCCCCTCCCTTCTATATACTTCTCCCTCTCTCTACCTCCTCACTCTTGTATGAAACCCCATCTCTAGTACCTGCATAAGCATGCAGAAGATAGCTCTCTTCAAGGAAAGTTAAGCCCTGAGGTTTAAGCAAAGAGTCAAAATTGTTGTCAATCTTGAGATAATAAATAGATTAACTTTTCTAATTTATTCACCAGT